TCAAATTCATTTCCAGAGATCTATAAGCAAAATCATTTGAGACGTGTTTCACACTTTTCGCAGAATTCAAACTTCTTCAGGGGGAAATGCGATTTAAAGATTTTTTGGGCGAAGTTTTAAGTTGTGTCCGATTTGCTTCAAACTTATTTTCAAAGCTCTACATAAGAACTTAATAAATACGTATTTCAGCGATTTGGGAAATTCCACCCGCAACAGTGGTACTTTGGCGGAAAACGGTTGTATGAAAGATTTTTTTGTTTACGATCCGATCGGCCCCAAACTTATTTTCAAAGATCTTTGTTCAAATTCATTTAAGGGGTGTTTCAATTGAAGAAAATGAAAAAATCGAGTGGGATAAAAAAGGTATTTGGTGGGCCGGAGTCAAGTCAGTAAAATATTATTTAAAAAGATTAATAGACAGCTTAAATATATGGAAAATGATTAATAGAATGAAGAGAGAGTTTTGGCCAAAAGATAATTTGTATGCCCTACAACATAGAAGTAAGTGGAATAAAGAAACCTTTGAAATACGAATTTAAAATTAAGGTCAATTGTGAGGGCTCAGAAAACATAAACAGGAGACAAGTATTATCCACGCTTGCAAAGATTTTAATTCATTAGGTTGGCTATCCCCAGTTTCAGTTGTAGGAAAATTATTTATGAAAATATGATGGGTGATAAATAAAGATTGAAATGAATACTATATACAAAGTTAAGGAACTCAGGAAAGGTAATATAATGTTACTTAAACAAGAACAGACAAATCAATTTTTCACCGAATTAAATTGCTAACCTCAGAAAAAAAAATGGAAACAGAGAGTAAAATACTAGAACTAAACCCATTTTTAGATCAAAATGGTATATTAAGAGTCGGAGGTAGACACCAAAATTCAAAAATTAAGGGGAGTTACACACTGCTAAAGGCAGAGGGAGAATTTATACAGCATAAACTCATCACAAATGCAAAAATACCATTGTTCAGTTAGCAAACTTCTCAGCTATTTAAATTTATACCAGTACCAGTACAAACAGATGTAATGATACAGTTAAGTTCAGACTATTTCTATATATAAAACTGTTTGTCCTGACTGACTGACTGACTGATTGGTGATCAACGCACAGCCCAAACCGTAAGAGTTAGGAAGCTGTAATTTTCATTGTAGTTACCTTATATGATTTAGGTGCATGTTAAGACGGGGTTTCGGGAAATTCCACCCGCAAGTGTTGAACAATCGCGAAAAACGTTTGTATGTAACTTTTTTGTTTACCATCCGATCGGCCTCAAACTTATTTTCAAAGATCTTTGTTCAAATTCATTTGAGGCGTGTTTCACACTTTTAGGAAAATCCATTCCTCCTTGGTGGAAATGGAGTTTAAAGATTTGGTGGGTGACGTTTCGCGCTCAAATTCGTTTCCAGAGATCTATAAGAAAAATCATTTGAGACGTGTTTCACACTTTTCGCAGAATTCAACTTTCTTCGGGGGGAATGCGATTTAAAGATTTTTTGGGCGACGTTTTAAGTTGTGTCCGATTTGCTTCAAACTTATTTTCATAGCTCTACATAAGAACTTAATAAATACGTATTTTAGCGATTTGGGAAATTCCACCCGTAACAGTGGTAACTTGGCGGAAAACGGTTGTATGAAAGTTTTTTGTTTACGATCCGATCGGCCCCAAACCTTTTTTCAAAGATCTCTGTTCAAATTCATTTGAGGGGTGTTTCACACTTTTCGAAAAATCCGTTCCTCCTTGGTGGAAATGGAGGTCAAAGATTTTGTGGATGACGTTTTGTGTTCAAATTCGTTTCCAAAGATCTATAAGAAAAATCATTTGAGACGTGTTTCACACTTTTCGCAGAATCCAAACTTTTTCGGGTCGAATGCGATTTGCTTCAAACTTATTTTCAAAGCTCTACATAAGAATATAATGAATACGTATTTCAGCGATTTGGGAAATTCCACTCGCAACATTGGTAAATTGGCGGTAAACGTTTCTATGAAAATTGTTTGTTTACCGTCCGATAAGTTTCAAAATCATTTTCAAAGCTTTTTGAGAACGTTGATTTTTAACATACGTTCCACGGGCAAGGCCGGGTTATACCCGCTAGTTAAGTATATAACTTTGAGATGGATTTGTACCATCTCAATGATTGTATTAATTTAAGTCGTAATTTTTATTGTATATCTGATAAGAATAAATAACTAAAAATCTGCAGGCCATCACCTTTGTCGGCACTTGACACCGAGTCTCACTTTGACCCTCGGTAAAAATATGTCTCACACCATATTATACAACTGCAGCCAGCAGCATAAAAATGGATAGCGTACTTGCGGTCGCTTAAGATCTTAAGAGCGACCTGCGCTAATAAATGTCATGTTAGAAAAATAAGTAGCAAGGTGAAAAAAATACCCTAATTAAACACAAAAGTTTATGACCTAAAATAAGACACATTGTTAGTATATAACGTGGATAGATCCGTCCACCGAGTGAGAAAAAACAAATAGTAAACAATAAACAAACTCTAACAAAACCTACCCTAACATCACATTTTATCACAGGTTATTTTGTCATGGCGGCTACCACCAGGCTATGATGGACAGTCGCAAACGCTTCGCCAACATGCGAACGTGTAACCCCATGTTAATGGACACCATGGCAAGATCCGTCTCCGCCGTTCTTCTAGCCATTCTTGGGGTATGCTGGGTGACAGATTTGGCGCACGCTCAATTCTGCATCGTCCTGGGTCACCTGTCTCCGAAGCTCTTGTAACTACGTGTTGCATTTGACGTTATCGGAAGCATCGATGGTTTGCTTAGTTGGTTGCGTGCGATATTAGCGGCCACGGCGATATCTTTTTGTCATAGGGTCAGACTTTCGGGGGTGAAGCTGGGCCCACAGCGGAGCCCAATTTATTGAAGGGTGGCAACGCCGGGCTTGCGACCCACGGCGCCAAAAGGGGCGATTGCTATTGGCCACCCGATTCGCTCCTAAAGAGACTATAAGGAGAGCGGATCGCCTGCCCTTGAATATGCCATTGGCCTTCATTTGGGCCGTTGACCAAAAAAAAAATGCAGCTGTGCAGATGGGCAGTAACGGGGTCCGCCTCGTAGATGTATGCGTGTGCCGAAATTCGGCACCAATGTTACTGCCCAAATGTACAGCAGGGAGTTGGATTTGATCAGCGGTCAACGGCGGGCGTGCCAGCTCGAAGCGAGCTTAAAATATTCTAGAAAAGTTTTCCGCAATTTGAAATTAAACAATAAATTATTATTTTTGCCGTTTATTGATAAAACCGAAATTTAAACATTGTGTCAAAATATATACAAAATAGAAAGATTTAGAACTTAAGCGCGACACGTGATGAACACATAAAAGCCCTAAGACACTTAATAAATAAAAACGACCCACGGCTCTGGCAACGAAGTTACCAATTCTCGGATCAGAGAGGCCTACGAAGTCACCACAACGGCATAGACTTGGCTCAGCGGCGCATGTAAGCATTATCCGCGCCGCCCGTCAGCCAAGCCTCGGTGCAACCATAAAGACGGCGAGACGCGCCACCAACGACCGGGCTCCAACACCGAAGAATCGGCCACAGGCGAGACCACGGCCACATCCTCCGAGTGAGTCTGTTCCATTTCGCCCCTCCTCGTCCGAGTCATTGGCAGAGTCAGACGTAGACTCCTGATTTTGCTCCCTGAAAAAGCGCAGATTTTTGTAGTTGTTAAATATCGTTTTTTTTTTTGTTTGTAAGTCATGAATATATAATATATACTTACGCCTAGTTTCACGTAAGACAATTTTCGAAAGTGCGAACAGTGAAGGAATGGCCCCAAAGATTATTGCTGCTGCAAAATAAATAAAAAAAAATAATTAGATTTCTGATAAATTTTGCACGAGCGATACCAGCTTTTATATATATATATATATATATATATATATATATAAGCTGGTATCGCTGGTATATATATATATATATATATATATATATAAGCTGGTATCGCCGGTATATATATATATATATATATATATATATATATATATATATATATATATATATCAACACCATATGTGCAGAATAACCATTATGATGGCCCTTACTGCCCCCACCCAGAGAGCTCTTTGGGCAGGCAAGGTATTATAAGCACTTTTGACAAACATAGCAGTTCATTTTTTCTTGTACCACATAAATATATATATATATACACACGCATTCCAGCGGGTACTTTCTCCCCATTGGTGCAATAATTACCTGATGTTTATATCTTTCCCCTCGTTCTTTTTTCTTTCTTTTGGGCAATAACTTTGCAGTGTTTCGTCGCCTGTTCCATTTAATCTTGTTAAAGAAAATAAAATGTATTCTGTAAGATAAATAGAAATATTAGAAATTAATACACATTGTCCATAATCACAAGTATATGTGCATTATAACGTAAATAACTGAATGGAGACACCTTGTAAAATAGAAAGAAATAAGAAACATTAATTGTTAATAATTATAAGGAATGCAACCAATTATACGCACCTACTGAAGAGAGAAATGTCCGGCTAAGTCTCAACTTGAAGGGGAGAGGGGGCATAACAGCCAACACGGGCTGATCAGGTGATCAGGTGATCGTCTCAGGTAGGGCGGGTACGCTGTACGCCGTTAATTTTTGTTAATTAATTTGTTAATTTATATTGAGCGTCTCACCTTTGTTGTTTATATTTGCTTGTTGTTACAGCTGTTAGTGTTGTTCATATGTTAGAAATTCCGATTGTTTGTTGTTATCGATTATGTGGTTCATTTTGAATAATGTTGTACAGGTATGTTTTGCTACAGACTTTGTAGTTTTGTTGATATAGATTGTGCGGACTGCGGGCCAGGGATGGGACTACACCCAGAGAAACGGATGAGCCAGCCGGCGCGGCCCATTGGGTAACAAGCAGTTCCATAACATACGGTCAGCTAACATCCAACATTAACACAGAATAAGACAAACAAAACTAATAATTGAATAAAAAACATTTGACAAAACTACCCTTATATCAATTTTTTAACACAAGATGCCTTTGTCATTGCGTCTACCACCAGGTAAAAAACGGAAAGGATGCAATTATAATGTAATCGTTGCACCAATGGGAACAAGATACCCACGTAAATGAACCTATAGCCGGGGATGCCACGATAATCAGTCGCGCAGCACGTATGTGAGGTATTTAATCGCTTAAATCTACCTTACCCTACCTAAAGAGCTCTCTGGGGGGCGGTAAGGGGCGATAGAAAGGGTATTTTAAGGTATGTATGTATGTGTGTACTGTTCGAGCAAGTACCAAATTTTAAACTTTTATATATAATAGGCTGATGCAAAAACATTTGGATCGTTTACACGCTGTTCGCGCTTTAGAAAGTTTTCTTGAGTGAAACTAGGCTTGAGTACATATATAATTTATCGAAAAGAACTAAATTTCATAATGGCAAAAATCTTTTCTCAGTCAGAAGTCTCGAACATGAGTCTGCGTCTGACTCTGCCTGCTACTCGGGGCAAGGAAGGACGACATGGAACTGACCCACTCTGATGGTGTGGGCGTGGTCTCGCCCGTGGCCGCTTCTTAGCCTATCCTTCTGGATAGCGTCGGTGATAAGTGCGCCGAGGGTATGGCTGACGTGGGCCGCTCAGCCGAAACCTGGACTGGGTGTTAAGCTGTTGGCCTCTCTGGGCCGAGAGCTGGTCCCTTCGGTGCCGGAACCGTGGGTCGTTTCTTTTATTTATTCTCTTTTCCCTTATTTGTTCGTCCTGTGTCGCATGTAAGTTTTAAGTTGTTTATTTTTTGTGTATCTCGGCACAATGTTTAAATTAAAGTTTCATTATTAATCAGCAAAAAAATTCTTCCTAATTTTTGGTAGTGCGCGTCGGCTTAGTTGGCCGGTTAGAAACTTTTTGTCATGTACTTTTTGCACCGGGTCGACATGAAAAAAAGAAAAATTCGGCACACGCATGCACTCAAATGTGGTCACCGTTGCTGCCCATATGCACAGCTGCATTTCTAGGTCAACGGCCCAGTTGTAGGAGAAGCGCATTAACAAGGGCATCCGATCTGCTCAATACCATACGAGTGAACTACCGCATATACGAGCGAGGGCCACCGCCTATACTCTCCTAATTTTTTTCGCTCAAGGCAGTGGATCCTGAGCTAGGCGTTGCCACCCCTGCGAAATTTGGGTCGCTCTAAGGTGTTTAGGGCCCGCACCGATGTATCGATAGACCTTAGCGACTCCCCATGCAACAAATAAATATATTTTATCTGTGGCAACCGATAACGATTAAGGTATTTGTTTAAATACCAGTGCTACCAACCTTTGACGAGCAAATTATTAATTGGTATATTGTTTTCATGTTAAAATTAACGCATTCAGTAGATAGTTTATAATTATTATATATTTCTAACTTTTCATCTCCTAGATTCGTATTACAATCCCTTTTACTCATTCATTAATTGAATGATACTTATTAATTTTCTACTGAGATCTAATAATAGTTCACCATAGAAAATATATGTTCTATTTGATACTCACGGACTGTTTAATGAGACTACAAGATTATTTTTGTCCATACTTAAATGAAAAAAGGAGTCAATTCAAAAAATATATATGATATATTATTATTTATTATTTGCCAGAAAAATCAACACACTTTTTTCTGGTCTTCCTCCTGATGATATAAAGTCTGATTTTAATAATCGCATTACACACAACAATGCAAATGGTGTGCCGGATATTCACATTGAGCTCCGTACTAGGCTCATGAATTTAAATCGAAATTTAGTTCGCCTATCGAATGGATTTCAATGTTGAGCTATTTTTCAACACTCTTAATACGTAGACAATTTTGATTGGTCCACATATGTCCAATCAAATCGTTCCACCGATTTTGCAAAGTTCCTATTTTCATCTCTTTTTGACATTCTCTATATGCAGTCTAAATAACTTTTCCCATAGCCGGCATTTGGATAGAAATATACAAATTGCTCAGTTTGTAGAAGTTCGTTACTAAAGTATTTGAGGTAACACGCGTTATGATGTGTCTTAAATCAATTGTTGCATTATTAACATTAGGCGTTATAAGTGCCGAAGTGTTTTTTGAGGAAAAATTCGAAAACGGTAAATTTTTAAAGTAGTAAGTTCGTCATGTTTGTAAGTATTATATTCTATAGAAAATTGGAAAGATGATTGGATCTACAGTAAACATCCTGGGAAAGAATTTGGCAAATTTATACACTCTTCAGGTTCTTTTTATAACGATGTTGAAGCAGATAAAGGTAGGTGACCAATATTAAAACACCCCAATACCAGAAAATTTTAAATAAAATATTACGTTTAGGCATTCAAACATCGCAAGATGCTCGGTTTTATGCCTTGTCTAAAAGATTCGATGGATTTTCGAATGAAGCTAAGCCCTTGGTAGTCCAATTTTCCGTAAAACATGAGCAAAATATTGATTGTGGAGGAGGTTATGTGAAACTTTTTGATTGCTCCCTAGACCAAACTGACATGCATGGTGAATCGCCTTATGAAATTATGTTTGGTCCGGATATTTGTGGACCTGGTACAAAAAAAGTTCATGTTATCTTAAGCTACAAGGGCAAAAATCACTTGATAAACAAGGACATAAGATGCAAGGACGATGTATATACCCACTTCTACACTTTGATTATAAAGCCAGACAACACTTATGAAGTTTTGATAGATAATGAGAAAGTGGAATCTGGAAATCTTGAAGATGATTGGGATTTCTTGGCACCCAAAAAAATAAAAGACCCAAATGCGAGCAAACCAGAAAATTGGGATGATAAGGTACGATATCTATATTTGTTTGGATAAATATATATATATATATACTATAAACTCGATCACAGAATTCAGAATTCAATATATACATATATATATATATATATATATATATATATATCGAGTTTATAAATATATATTTTCAATGCTATAAACAGAACCTTCACAGAAGTTAAACTCAAAGCAAACCATGTGTTCGCAATTTTATTTTATTTAATACGACTACATATGTACATGGGCACGCACGCGATAAATTTAAAAAATAATATTCTCGGTATTGATCTTTTTATGTATACACATGTATGTATGTATGTCAGCTTATTTGATGTCAGATGTCAGCTTATTTGATAAATACATATAGATTATATATAATACTTATAGCTTTTGAACCAAAAAAGCAATCAATATCGAAAAATGTCAATTCAACGAGTGGATTTTTAAATTATTCCTTTTCTCTAGTATAAAATAATATTAAAAACAAAAAAGAAGTCCCTTCCAATTATGCTTATAATTCCTTTAAATGATTCCCCAACTAATGTTACCTTACAGATTAAATAGGGAAAGGTCATAGTCGGACGTGAAAACTAACAAAATTGATTTCATTGGCAGTGAAAGCCACTGCAGTGAATAACAATACATATGTACATATATACATATTTTGAAGCACTCATAACTTGCATAATTACCAAGAGACAAGACCTTCTGTCTAGCATACTCTGTAAAAATAAAAGTAAAATCAATTTCTGTGGGCTACTGAATAAAGATAGTTATCTCAAAATTAAAAATTATTTTAAAATCTACATTTACAATTTACAATTGTATCTATGGTAATATATAGTATATTATATTAAGCATGAATTAAAATGTTAAATACAAAAATACTGTGCAGCGATCCTAAGGACAAAACTTTCGCTTAATGCGAAAAAGCACGCTCGACATAATCGTCGCATTCAAATCTATGGGCTTTACTCATCTTAGTGTTTATATTCTCCTTTACCTAACTATCTAATTTGTAGTGAAGGCAATCTCTTTGAAAATCCGTTAATTTATTCAAAAACTTGAATTTTCTGTAATAACTGCTGTCTTTTCAAGTTTAAAGTCAACCAAATCCCGTTGAATTCCAGTAGGGGTTCGACCAATGCTTCTAATTCTTTTTTTTGTACCATTATCACACTAAAAGTGCGCAAGAAACCATTATACGACACATGTACTATACACAACAAAACAATGTGGGTATTAAAACACGACCAAACGAGATCAATATCTCTTGAATTGAATAGCATCAAAAAGGCTGCAACATTTAAAACTATTTTAGCTTATATATCATTTTTAAGTTAAAAACTAATCTGAAATTATGAAAATACTACTTATTAAGTTGATCAGCGCATTTCCTTTTATTTTTTTTTTTTAATTTTGTTTGTATCAAAAGTATGGTGTTTAAGTAATTTAATAAGCCTGCATCAAATACTTCGAACCGTGAACCTTACCAACATTTTTTTGCACTTGCAGCTATGATTTTTACTCATTTTAATGAATTTTAATTCTAGTTAAATAAATTATTTATACTTAATTATGCTGACTAAAAAGCGAATTCGTAAATTTGTTTTACTGCATATTATTTGAAAATTTTGGTCCCGATAGGCGGTCTTCACATTAATTTTAATAAATTAATTTCACAAAACTTCCAAGTTGACATTACCTAGCTTTATAGAAACTTAAATTTCGCCATCAGCTTAAAATTGTAAATCTCCTTTACACAGGCGACGATTCCTGACCCTGATGATAAGAAACCAGAGGACTGGGATAAGCCACAACACATTCCTGACCCTGATGCTACCAAGCCCGAGGACTGGGATGATGAAATGGATGGTGAATGGGAACCCCCAATGGTAGATAATCCGGAATATAAAGGAGAGTGGCAGCCGAAACAATTGGACAATCCCAATTATAAAGGATCTTGGGATCATCCAGAAATTGATAATCCAGAATATAGTCCTGATGATAACCTTTACCTTCGAAAAGAAATTTGCACTTTGGGATTCGATTTATGGCAAGTGAAATCTGGAACAATATTTGACAATGTTCTGATTACTGATGACATTGAACTGGCAGCCAAAGCGGCGGCTAGCGTAAAGGATACACAATCTGGTGAAAAAAAAATGAAAGAATTACAAGATGATGTACAAAGAAAAAAAGATGAAGAAGAGTCAAAAAAAAATACAGATAATCACGATGAGGAAGATGACGATGATGACGATGAGAATATCGAGTCGAAAAACGAATCAGAAGACAATGGGCACGATGAATTGTAATTATGACAAATAGTAATTAATAAAAATTAAATTGTCCCTATTTGAGTGGTTTGACAAATACAAGCAACTTTTATAATGTTTATGTAGAGTTACAATTTGCAAGACTTATACTATAATTTATAAATAAAGGATTTGCATATTATTCTCCAATCAATATGTCAAAAAATATATTGATTATGCCTCACTGATGTTTGATGCGGGTGTTAAAATAATATTGTTTTTTTTTTTTAATAATGGAAACGACAGTTGTGCGATAACATAAAACTTTACGACCTGTGTTTTCTTATTTCATCGATCGTCGCTTTTTCTGAGCCAGAGTCTCAAATTGGAGGCTTTTCAGGTGGATTTTCGCTTTTCAAACGTCGCACCAGCCGAAAGGCTTTTCTCTCCAACAGGCACATGCATAATTGACGAAATTGGCTTAGTGGTGATACGAGTAAAGAAGTCAGTCGCAAGAATGCTTTCAGCAAAGCTGGCCGATGCTAATCTGCGCTGTTTTATATCGAAGCAAAATTTACGAAAAAGCTTTGTAAATACATGTATGTTTAATAAGAAACATATAACCTTCAATGCAATTGCTTAATTTTAAAAGCATATATAATTTCGAGTTTTAATATGGCTTGCTCACATTATCAAAAAACTAACTCTCATATAAAAAACCAAATTAGTGGTTGCACCGAGGCTTGGCTGACGGGCGGCGCGGAT